GTGACCACGTCTTCTTCAACACTGTTCCATGAGCCCATGGTGCCCTATAAGCTGCTCCATACACCTGTGCACAAACCAGCCACAACGCCCTATGCACGCTCCTTCAACACCTGGTATCCATCACACTCCTCAGCTCCATCTGTCCTTCCAGTGACACGTATGGCGTGAAAGACGTGTTATCCACTGGGATCAGACAGTGGTCTGGGAACAGAGGGAGCTAGGTCCTCTCTCCAGTTTCTGGAATAGATTGATATTATGTCCACGTATTTGAGTATTTTAGATACTCCATAGAAGGGGAATCACTCGCCCTTCTGTGGCTGGAATATTTCACTTAGCACAATGTCCCCAAACTTCATCCATGTTTCCGCATATTGCAAAATTTACTTCTTTTGTAAGGCCGAACAATATTTCATTATGTGTACATAGCGTATTTTCTTTATCTGCTCATCTGTGGATGGACATTTAGGTTACTTCCGTGTCTTGGCTGTTGTGAATAGCGGTGCGTGAACACAGGGGGGCGCTGAAGCATCAAAGAGTAGAATGGCCATTGCCAGACGCTGGGGGAGGGGGAGTGAGCGCTGATTAATGGGCATGAAGCTTCAGTTAAGCAAGATGAGTAAGTTCTAGAGATCTGCCGTACAGCATTGTACTTGTAGTTAACGATACTGTTAGACACTTAAAAATTTTCCACTCCGGTAGAGCTCATGTCAAGTGTTCTTACCACAATAAAATAAAATTTTTAAAGAAAACAAAATATTTTATGGCCAGGTCCTGGAGAAATTCTGATAGGGACCTGGTCTCCATGCAACCTGGCCCTTGGCCTTGGCCCTCTCGAGGCTCACCAAGCTGGTGTAAAGAGCTCTCTTCTCTAGGCTGTCTCTCCCATCTAGTGTCCTGGAGGATGGAGAACAAAGCCAGCTCCAGGCAAATTTCCACGAGGGGCCTCTTTGGCACCCTCTCGCCATCCTTTCTGTGTCCATCACTTCTCACCAGGAACACACTTTCCAAAGTCCTGGAAGCTTCCAGCACTAACACACTCTGTGCCTCAGGAGCCATGCTCAGCTCAGCCTCTTTTCCATTTTCCTTATTAATCGCATCTCCCAGCCTTCAATCTCCAGGTTATTGCTGAATCAGGGTAATAATCTCTAATCCAGTTTCTTACAACTTCCCACGAAGATATCCATATAAGCTTGTTAAAATATAAAATTTTCAATGTTACAAATCCTATCAACCATTTGACAGTGCCTAAAAAGAATGGAGACCAAGGTCAGCATGAAAGGGGCTGGACCGTGAAACATAACTGTAGTCAAGATGCCAAGGGAACTTATTGAAAGAAACAGGCTCCACCCTCTGAGACAGAGAAACGTGGTGACCTGGGAAGGGAATGGGTGTCCATTCAGGCCCGACCCTCCCAGTACACCCCACAGCCGGAGGCAGAGGGACGCTCTGCTGTGGAGATGATGCTGGCACAGGAGGGCTGAGGCGGGAAGATCTTCAGAGGCCATCCATGCTCAGAGTGCTTTGCTGATATTCTTGAAGACAAAAGTTATCTTTTCTTTTTTAGTTAAGCAGAACAAAAGGAAAGGAGTTAGGATCAGGATGGCTAGAAGGATAAAGTGTTTTTTTTTTTTTTTTGAGGAAGATTAGCCCTAATCTAACTGCTGCCAATCCTCCTCTTTTTGCTGAGGAAGACTGGCCCTGAGCTAACATCCGTGCCCATCTTCCTCTACTTTGTATGTGGGATGCCTACCACAGCATGGTGTGCCAAGCGGTGCCATGTCTGCACCCTGGATCTGAACCAGCGAACCCTGGGCTGCTGAAGCAGAATGTGGGCACTTAACCACTGCGCCACCAGGCCGGCCCCCGGATAAAGATTTTTAAAACTGCAGCCATTGCTACATTAAGAATACTGTAGACAACTGCTTTGGGGGAAAACTATTTTTTCCCCTTTTTTGTTAAAATGCTTTAATGAGAACTCTGATCACGCACAAGGAAAGCCCCAGCCCAGCCCAGCAGGGACGCCTAGGAGAAGGTGGGCTAAATTGCTCCGGGCCGTGATGTGCGTGTCTCGTCTCTCAGATGGGGCTTGGGGAGGGGGTGGGTGGGTTGGTTGGTTGGTTTCATTTTAAGGGATTATTTTTTTCCTCCTGGCAGCCCAGAGGTTGAAGTAGGTCTCCCTAGGGAAAGAGGAGATGGAAAAAGCCGCTCTAATCTAAAAGGGTGGTCTCCAGGAACATGGAGCCAGAACAGGATCCAAAGGAAGAGTCTGCTGGTCAGGAAGTCCCTCGACAGTGTTTGGTGGGCGTTGGGCACAGTGATGTCGGATATCCGGTTTCAAGATATTCCCAGTGTCGTGAGGTCATTCTCTTCTGTCACCACCCTCCCTGCCGAACGTTCAGAGGAGCTTCCTTACCTACACAAACCAGGGCCAGTTTGACGTGAGAAGTGCCTCCATGCTCGGGACTAAGTGGTTTGGGGACGGCAGAGGAAAGCAAAACGCCCAGGATTGAACAAGAATGAGCCAGCGCCGAAGGAACACATTTCTTCTAACGCACATAGCGCTCTCAGTAAGGAGAACTCTACAATCAAAAATGTCTCCATTTTACTACATATTTGTACTGATTTTTAAGTTTTCTTCTGTGTCCTGTATTGACTCTTTTTCTTTTGTGTGTCAATTCTGTGTATTGAATCCATGCCTGTCATTCTGTTGGTTTTCCTTAAACGTTGGGCTGTATTTGTGTTGAGGGTATACTGAATTCTGTGGGTAGTTGCATTATTTTCATACCAGTGAGACTGTTCTGCAGTGGAATTGTCCAAGGCAGCGGAGGATGTGGACTAAACAGGAACTGTTCCTCATGTACCGTCTCCCCGACGCTCCTGTGGCTGTAAGTCACCTGGGACATTATACCATTTCTCTTGCTCAGATCTCCACTCTTGGCACATTGCATTTGAGGAGCCCCACCCAAAGAGCTATATTCCCAGCTTTATCCTAAGGGCCACCGTGAATGTAGAGGAAATGACTCATCGGGTAAGCTAATTTCCCAGTGGGTCACGGCGTCAGGGGTCCCCCAAGATCAGCCTCCTGTTCAGTGATTTGCTAGGAGGACTCATGGACTGAGAGACAGTTAGACTACAGGTACTGTCTACTGCAGCGAAAGGACACAACGCAGATCAGTGAAGGAAAAACATGCAGGCAGGCTTCCAGAGTCTTCTCCCAGCAGAGTCGCATGGTTGGGCCTAACTCCTCCAACAACAGGTGGCAGCACCTGCACAGTGCTGTCTACCAGGGAGCTCATTAGACTCCGCATCCAAGGTTTATATCGGAGGCTGGCCATGTAGGGACCCTCTGCACAGCAGGTGTCAAAGCTCCAGGCTCCCAGGAGGAGAGCAGGCGTTCCACGTAAACATATTGTTTGTGCAAACAGTCTAGGCACAGTGAGCCACCCTATCAGGTAGAGAATGGTGGGAAAACTCCCCAAATCCACGTTCCCAGATGCTGGCCAAGGGCCGACCTTGCAAGCAGGCCTTTCTAAGAACAACTGTCTCAGGGCTGCCGTGTGAACTCTGGTCTGCATTCTCCGAGAAGCCACTCTCCGCAGGCCACCACCTCTGATCTTGGCCTTGTTCTGGATTCTGTTGGGTCAGCTCACATCTTGGAGAGCCTGTAAGAGATTGCAGGATCTCTCGTTCTATCCAGTTTTGCCATCAGTATATAAGAAATTCTCAAAAATATATGTGTTGAATACATGAGCTATGGAAAAAAAATGAGTAATTTAGAACTGAAAGAAAATATCCCAAAATATTAATAAAGGGTGATGCTATTGCATGTGATTTTTATTTGCTATATTTTTATATGCCTTCCAAATTTTCTAGAATAAACACATGCTCCTTTTGTAAGTTGAAAACAAGTAGCACTAGATGTTGGTTTCCAGCAAATCTAGGGCCAGTCCTGTAGCTCAGATGCAGAATCTGCAGAGCTGAGCCACGGTCTGCAGGATAACTCTGACTCCAGGGCTGGTTTTGGCCACAGAGACTCTGGGTGAGGCCCACCTCGAAACCGTTTGTCTCCTGAGACCCAGACTTGGTGCTGTTTGCTTCCATTCAGTCTTTATAGCTTAAACTCATGAAACAGGGTGGTCGGGACTTAAAACAGACGTAAACTGATTAACTAAAAATAAAGAATGAGAGGACCCAGGGATGTTTCGCAGCCGCTGTGTCTGTAGGTACACACTACAGACAGTGAGGGCTGCAATCAACTGCAGCCGTCTCCACTGATGGACAGCAATGATTTTTTTTTTTAATTTTAATTACTTTCCCAAGCATAGCTTCTTAGGGTTGATATTAAAAATTTGCCTGTAGGAGGAGGTATCCTAAAAATATTCTAGGTAGCGGTGGAAAACTATCCTGAATGTTTTTAAATTTGGCATGAGCAATGCAACAGTTTATATTGTTACCACTCATTATAACTTATGATAACTAATGAGGCCTCAGTATTGTTAAACACCAAAATTATCAGTACCCAGCTACTCTAAGGAATGCCAACGCTTTCTTCCTGGCCTCCTAGTCAAATTTACTTTCTTCGTCTCCTCAATCCCTTTACCTCAAGAGAACCATACATCTATAGTCAAACTACGTTTTCCACATGGGGAAGAAAAACATGGCATTAAAACTTATATATTAGGGGCCGGCCCAGTGGCACAGTGGTTAAGTTCACACGTTCCACTTTGGCGGCGGGGGGGTTCGCCAGTTCAGATCCCAGGTACGGACATAGCACCGCTTGTCAAGCCATGCTGTGGTGGGCGTCCCACATATAAAGCAGAGGAAGATGGGCACGGATGTTAGTTCAGGGCCAGTCTTCCTCAGCAAAAAAGAGGAGGATTGGTGGCAGATGTTAGCTCAGGGCTAATCTTCCTCAAAAATAAATAAATAAATAATAAATTGAAAAACTTGCGTATTAGATCTAACAATTACATTCCCAACAGAAATGAGGGCACGTGATGTGCAGTAAAAACGTACCAATATTTTTATGGCAGCTTTGTTCATAATAACCAAAAACTGGATACAGTCTAAATGTCCATCACCAGTAAAATGGATAAATAAAATCGTGCTACATTCATATAATAGAATACTATACAACAATGAAGACCTAGAAATTTGGCAAGAACATAAATGAAACTTACAGACATAATGCTCTGTTAAAAAGTCAGACAAAATAGAGATGTACTATAGAATTAATTCCACTTACAAAGTTTAAAAGAGGCAAAAGTAATATTGGAATATCAGAAACCAGGGTCACGATTACCCTTAGGGAGGGAGAGTGGAAGGGGCACAAGAGAGGGCTCTGAGCTGCTCCTAATGTTCCTAGCTCAGTCTAGGTGGGGTTTGCACGAGTTATTGATTTGTAAAAATTTGTTGTGATACAACCTAAGATTTATATTCCTGTCTGTAAGTGTGTTTTACTGCTATAAAAATATTACCCAAAATGGGGATTTTGCAAAGAGCCTACGCATCAAAAGAGAGACATAGTTATTAAGGTTCTTTTAGTAAGTGTTCAATAACTCTAGGAACTGGCTAATAGCATATACGTAATGCTTATTTCTCCAGGTCTTAGGAGCCTTTGAGGACGTCTCATTAACTCCAATACAAATGTCACTGGTTCTTGCTCCCCTTGCCTTAGCAAACGTCCAGCCCCTGCACTCCAAGTCCCATATCTCTGGGGGTCTCCAGAAGGTGTCTCCACTCTCCCAGTCCTGCCGGCTACGCCTCCACCCACTGAGCACAGCCGTTCCTGCACACCCTCCTCTGGGCTGAAGTGTCAGGGAATGACTCACCTGTTCACAGGGAAAGTAAAACAGTGTTTCCGGGGTCTGAGTATTTTTTATAAAGCTTAGTGAGAAAGCTCTTTCTGTTTTTACTGACAGCCCTCTATGTACCCATGGAACACATGCCTCCAGGAGGCCAGACCGGGGAACAGGAACAGGAAACTGCTCCAACGCGAGCAGACTTACTGATGATGCTTCTTCCAGGCTCAAGCTGATCACCAGATTCCTTCCACCCTCAGGGCGAAGTCTCACCCAGGAGTCTCCTCAGCCTCCAGCAGCCGCCCACGGCTTGCTAGACGTGCCCAGATATACCAAAGCCCCCAAGAGCACGGATGACTGCAGCCTCCCCCAGGCACACTGACGTCACTCAGGCCTGTCTCACCAGTTCACAGACATGTCCAGACAGGCTTGAAACCTCATGATGGACCCCAGATAGACCAGGGTGGAGACCCTCTGCTCTATCCAATCCTGGAAACTCGGATGGTTGACTGGGAAGACCAAGCCACCAGCACACCCACCTCTGCACATGTGCTGAATCAGCATAAGGATGTTAAGACCCCAGGCTTTTTTTGCTTTTGAGATTACTTCAGCGTTCTTATGAGAATAAATTATTTCTTTAGATTTCAATGTATTACATCTAAGATTACGAAAGAGAGAAAGTGCCATCTACTTTATGTTCTGGCTAGAGTGATGAAAATAATCCCGTTTTGATTTATCTTCTTCAGAATAGGAGTAATTTTTTCAGAGTGTTTTGGTGCATAAAGATCTGGAACAAAGAAAGAGAAAGAAAGCCATTGTTAAAATTGCCATCACATCCTTCGCTGAACCACTGGGTGGCCTGAGTTTCAGCGGCGAATTCCTCCACCTGCCGGTGTGAGCCTGTCTCTGCAGTTCTCACGCTGGATCTTTTCCTCAAAAATAGAGAAGACGATTCACCATGGAATTATGAGTGGAGTGAAGCTTCGTGTTTTCTTCTTAAACTGGAAATGTATTATGATTCAATGACTAAGATACTGTCACTCAAGAGGGCGGAGGAGGAGACAGAACTTCCAGGAAGAAAGAGAAATGGGTATTGTTGTGTGGCTCCAAGACAAACACAAGATGCTCTTTCCTTCCTGTGAACTCAGATGGCACTTAGGGTCTGGGCCAGTCAGTTTTCCTTTAGCAGATGCTGCCTTGTATTTTCATATGAGTGTGCTGCCTCAGCCTAGTTTAAAAGTTCTTAGGAAGGCAGAGACTATGGCCTATATTTTTGTACATTAAGAGTGAGCACAGTACATGGCATACAGTGGGTGATCATTCAATTCTTGTTTTGTTGACTTTCCAAGGTGGCCAATATTTCCAGGTCCTTCTTTCACCAGAGACATGAACACAGGGGAGTCCTGGGGTCATTGGTGTAAGAAGGCCACTCCCAAAATAAGTTTGTGGACTGATACTTAAGTATAAAGGGGGAGGGGCAGCTACAGAGAGGGAGTCAGTTCCCAGGAAATGGGGGACAGTGTGCCTGGCACAGTGACTGTGCTTCACTGGTGCGCCCCGAGTGCTCGGCATGATGCTGGACACAAAGGAGGTGAACAAATATTTTCTAATACACCAGTGAATTAGAAACACTGAATGTGAAAAACAGAGATTATCCTCTGCAAAACTATGCTTAATGAACCATAATCCACCTAAGACAAGAAGAAACACAAAAGAACGGCCCTGTGTTTGTGCACGAGACCAGCTTTCAATAGGTCACCCCGACGCCCATGCTCCATCCTGGAAAATACTAAGTGGAAAGAAGCTATTTTTCTGTATTATGTGTTTTAAGCCAGTGTTACCCCTCAGTGTCTCAGTACCTTATCGGTTAGAGCTTCAGAGGTGGGTAATTAGACAGCTCAGAAAGCTTACAGTAAAGATCTGGCATTTGAGAACATGGTGTTGGTCATTCCTTAGGTTTACGCCCTAAGTGAACAAAATTCTAAAAATCAATAATATTAGTATAGGAGCCTGTATGATTTATAGGGTTAATGCCTGCAGTTAATGAATTGGATGCAAAGGGCAAGTCAGAATGTGAGTCCCTGAGGGTCTGCGTGACAAAGACCCTGAGATGGGGACCGGAGGCCAAGTCCAGGGCTGGCTGCATTGTCATTATCTGTGGAAACCTTGTGCTTACCACATTTCTCACTTCCCTTCCTCTGTCAGGGTGTGTTCATATCTCTTTGCAAAATTCTCCCAGAATGAATCTCCTCATTCATGCCCATAATGAGTCAAAGGCTTCCTCTGAAACATGCGTCTGGCTGCGTGAGTAATAACACTGGAGAGAAAAGTGAACAAAAGGAGAACATAAACCGAGGTGTGCAAGAAATGTGGCTTTATTTTCTTATGTCAGCTTAATTTCTCACTTGAACCCTCATTCCTCCAGGAAGGGAAACATGTGAGCTCGGTCACTTAGTCCATGTAACCGGGGCAGGGTAGGGAGGGGAGCCTCAGGCTTCGACACCTCCCTTGGGCGTTCTCAGAGCCAGCCTTGAGCGGAAGGCTGCCCCAGCCTCCCCGGACAAGGAGTTCTTGTGACCAGGGCTAAGCCCTCACTGCAGAGAGCCTCCGGGCAGCCACTTCCGCCCTGGGGCCCTCCCTGGATCTTCTGAGGAAGCAGAGTGGTGTCCCGGCTGCGCTCAGATGATCCACAGCCCACCTGGGGTTTGTGCTGCCTCCCCAGGAAGCAGACACCCCATCTGAGACCAGGGACATCCCTGCTCCCCACGCTGTGCGTCCCCTCCCACTCCTGCCCCAGCCTCCGCAGCCTGGGGTCCTAGAGTCTCTCAAGTGTTAACACAGGCCAGCCACCCAAACCAGGAAGGCCCCTATATCCCTCCCCGAGATTATAAACACAAGGGCTGGAGAAAAGTGAAACATTGGCTAATATCTAAAATACCAACCCAGCACAAAAGGTGACATCTCAAGGACGCTTTCAACACTTCCTCACTCTTCTCCACTCACACCTTTTGGAGCTTAGCCATCTTGTGGAGTGAACAGGACACAGAGCATCATCCTTACTTTGCAGAAGCTGAAACCGAGGCACTGAGTGACTCTCCAGTCTGGGCACGTTCCACAACAGGCACGTCAAAAGCAGCACAGATTTGAGGGGGAAGACGGTTGTCAGTTAAATATTTCCAGCTTTTTAGGAACTCCCTCTGGACCACACCTAACAAGCCAAACCACCGTATTAATGAACAAATCAAACACGACAGAACCTGAAGGCGCCAGGAACACCCGCTTGCTTCAAGACAGTCAAATATATTTGGATAACAAGCAAATGGTCACAGTCGCAGCCGGTCACGGAGATGGCCATGTGGTCAGCGTGCTGTCTGCAGATTCTGGGGGCACTCAATGGAGCTCGGCCATCTCACTAATTATTTAACACAGCAGAGCCCAGCTAGTAACCTTGGTTGACAGATTCATACACAAATATACTGAGTGAAATGTCCTTAAATTCACTCAGCGGGCACAAAGCTCAGCTCAGCTCTCATGCCACCCACGCCCAGAGAGCCAATGACCTGCCGTGGGGCCACTTGGGACCTCTGGCCTTTCCCTGGATTTCAGATCTGAGTAGAAGTAGGTCGAAAGGGCAGAGGACAGTACAAAACAAACCAAGTGGACGGGGTGAGCCAGTCAGCCAAGGTGCAGGCAGGGTTCAGGGTCACCCACCAGATCCCAAACCCTGTTTCAGAGGAGCCATCTGCCAAGGGTTGAAAACCTCTTCAGCCACCAACTTGTCAGTGATCTTGCACAAGCTGCTTAACTTCTCTGAGCCTCGGTTTCTTCATCTGTAAAATGGGAAGAGAAACAGAACTTGCCTCACAGAGCTGGTGAGGGGAGTAAATGAGGGAAAGTCCATCACGAGCCTGGCCAGAGCCCAGGGGAAATGCTGGTTGTGGTTTCCATGAATCCGAAGGTGCCCACACAACAAGCCTCCACTGCAACGCCTGGCTGTTAACCAACACCTGTTTACCGAGTACCTTTCTGTGGCGGCCACCAGGATGGGCCTCCCAGAGCTCCAACTGCAGGGGCACAACGGAGCAAGGGCCGGGGACACCCTGCCTATGTTTGTGCTGAGGCCACCCCCCCAGGGGTGTTCCATCAGTGACTCAAATAGCATGGGGACACCTCTGACAGTGGACTTTGGCTCCAGAGCTGCCCGGTGGCCCTGCCAGATCTTCTGGGGACTGCAGGGCGGTCTACAATGCTCCCTCCGTTCCTCCCTCCGTCTCTCCTTCCCTGGGGTCAGGCACACTTTGGTCAGACGCTCCCAGGGTAACCTGGCTCCCTCCCCATCTTCTCTCCCTCAGGCGTCTGCCCTAATTAAATCCTTGCACGTTTAATCCTGTCTCAGTGTCTGCTTCTCTAAAGACCCAGACTAACACTTTCCCAAGTCCTTTCCCGACAGCGGGCAACTTCTACTCGTCCTGCGAGGCCCAGACAGTTTGTTCCGCTGTTCACAAGCGTGTTTCACCAGGGCAGCCACAAGGAAGCAGGAATAACACAGGTCATTGTTGGCAAGGTTGCTGTACACGATGTGATCAACTCCAGGCTGATACTTTTCCAGGGAGCCACAGTTTTGGTGTTTCTAGTCAGGGAGAGGCTGAAGGAAAGGTTTCTAAAGAGAACAATCTTCTTGGTCAAGTAACTTGACCCCTCTAGGCCTCAGTGTCCTGGACCAGAACAGCTGGAGCAGGTGTTAGATTTCAAAGGGGCCTGGGAGACCACAGCTCCGTGTTTCCCAAAGTTCAGTTACATTTATAGAGCACTTTTTGGCCAACCTATGTACCACCCAAACTACACTGTTTTTCTTTACGTAAATTTCATTTTAACCTAAAATTTAAAAAGCAAAGTTTATATGAGAGTGCAACGGACATCATTTACCATAAGTGGAAGACAGCATTATTAAATTCTACTTAGATGCTGAAACCTGGAGAAGGAGTAGAGTCTGGGCCTCTTTCTCTTAAAACTGCAGGTTGACAAGTGTTAGACATGCTCACACCAGAGACTCTGCAGAAAGACTGAAAGAGAAGTGAAGAGGGACTGAAGACCGGGTCGACGGCATGCCCCACAGCGCCTGGCACCGTCTGTTCTCTTTAACACGGGGTTGATGGTCCCCCACACTCTGTAGTTCACAGGTTTTCCCCTTTGAGAGATGGCAGCTCAGGGTGCAGGCTCACAGACTGGAAACTGAATCAGGTAAATGGAGGGTTTGTTGGTACATCGTTATCCTGGGTTTCCAACAAGGATTTAGTACATCTAAGTGGACAGGGGGGCTAGGATCCATCTGTTTGAAACTGTCTTAAGCAAAACTAAGAAAGAGCATGTTTGCCTGTGGTGTCTTTGCACCCTAATTCCTCACCCCACCCCAGGTGTCGCGACATCGTGTTGCCTTTTGCTGCCCAGAGGCCTCCCTGGGAGTAAGACGGACTCAGACCCAGCTTCCCTCATCCCTCTGCTCTACCCTATTCCTCTATCCAGCTATTAAAGCTGAGGAAACTATTTCACAACAACGTGTGAATGACCCAACACTAGGTTAAAGCTGTGAGGGTCCTAGGGGTATTCAAAGCTGACTGAAAAAACACATTCTTTATTATCCAATTTTTCAAAGGAACTTCCCTTTCAGCCTCCCCTGAAACTTTACCACACAAGCCTGGTTATTTTTAAGTCCAATCATTTTGATGTGGCTCCACTCTCCCTCTTAATTCAGGGTATTTCTGGCCTCATCCAGATGGCCCAGCTGTCATGGCCCTGTCCCCCATAAATGCTTTTCCCTGCAGGTCATCGGGATTGCGTAAGCATCCAGCGCAGTCTCAGCTCTGTCCCAAAGGCCCTGCATCTGAACCCAGAAGCTGGGAGGACAAGGGTCTGGATATTTTGCCAGATCTATGCAGTTTGAACTTTCATTTCCATGGTGGGGGCTGCATTTAGCCTGAGTCAAATAATCCCACCCCCTACCAACACATCTACTCAAAGGAATCAGCTTGGGTTTATCACTGAAAGTAAAGTCTATTAATCAGTTGCACTAAGTTTTTTTTGGAAAACTCAATTCTGGCAACGGACTGCTTTTAAAGTAATAGATTAATACGTACTACTTGCTGAAGAAGAAAAAGCCTCTGGCGGCCAAAAATACCACGCATTTGCCTTTGCCAAGGTTTAAACACACATGCACACACACACATACAAACAAACACCACCCAAGCTGGAGGGGAGGGTGCAAAGATCAGCCGCCCCCAGATTCACACAGACTGCTCTGGCGCCCGCTCGGCCAGTTACCCGTTCGTTTCACACACATGCCCTTCTCTCTTCTCCCCTCTTCGCCCCCTTGGGTTGAAAAGTGATTCAGAGTAGAGCCCCTGCCACATACTCGGCCCCAAGGTTCAGCTCAGGACTTGCAGATTCTTACTGTCTCTGCAACGAGCAGAAGACGCTCCGGACAGAGCGAGCACGGGTTTGAGGAATCAGGAAACCCGGAATCCCTGAGTCCCCCCAAAACAATTGAAAACAGGGGGCGTCGGGGCCCTCTTTCTGAGGTCTCGGATCCAAGACGGGGCGATGCCACCGACGGACAAGAGGGTGGGACAACTGAAGTGGGAGCGTGCCGACTCTCCAGGATCCCTCCGGATGCTCATGGTGGGTCCCATTCCAGGTGAGAAACAGTAACAGTGATAATGACAGCACAAGTTTGCCAGCAACGTGCTTGCCCACACAGGCATCCTCCTGTCTCCAAGAATCTAGAGTGGGAGGTAAGACCGACGCTGCTCCAGGTTCTGCAGATCTGATGGGCGCTCCCAGGCTCGGCGACCTGCCGAGGGCCACTTGCAACTGCCCAGAGGGTCCCGCGGGGTCCCGGCAGCCCCACCCACGCCCCCTGCCGTCCACCCCGCTCCCCACGTCCACCCCCACCCCCCACCACGTTCACCGCGCTCCCCACGTCCACCCCCGCCGTCCGCTCCGCCCCAGCCGCTAGGGCCGGACACCGACCGGCGGGCGGGGCCGAGGGGCGGGCCCCGGACTCTCCGCCTCAAAAGCGGCGCCGGGCCGCCCGCCCCGTCCAGTCCAGTCCAGTCCCGCCGGGTCTGCCCGCCGCCGCCACCGCCGCGATGGCCAAGCCGCTGACGGACCAGGAGAAGCGGCGGCAGATCAGCATCCGCGGCATCGTGGGCGTGGAGAACGTGGCGGAGCTCAAGAAGGGCTTCAACCGGCACCTGCACTTCACGCTGGTCAAGGACCGCAACGTGGCCACTCCCCGCGACTACTTCTTCGCGCTGGCGCACACGGTGCGCGACCACCTGGTGGGCCGCTGGATCCGCACGCAGCAGTACTACTACGAGCGGTGCCCCAAGGTACGGCCGCGGGGGGACGCGTCCTCGCCTCGGCGCCCGGCCCCCCGAACCCCTGCGGCCCCCCGGCCTCCTCGCGGCCTCGGGGATCGCGGACTTTCCGAGCATCCGCCCCGCACTGACCGGGAGTCCGCGCGCCCCGGGCGCAGGTCTCGGCCCCGCGTCGGCCTGAACTAGACGGACAAATGGCCGGTCCGGGAGAAGCTCGTGTTTAGGGAGGGGGACAAATATATAGAGTCTGCCAAAGGGTAGGAAGAGCTGGGGGAAGGGGGAGGACGGAAGAGGAGCCGGAGGAAGGCGCCCCACTACCCGGAGAGCCTTCGGAGGACGAGACTCGGGGACGCGTGGATGACCCGGAGTCGCGGCTTCTGTGGGGACTGCCCGAGGGGGGAGCAGAGGGAGGGGCCGAGTCCCCCCAGTTCCGCCGAGCGGGGCGAGGAGCCCCGGGACTTCCTGGATCCCTGCGGGGCGGAGGCCGCGGGCCGGGACGCGCTCCGGACTCAGACCTGCCCGGGGGCTGCGGAGCGAGGCTGCGCACAGGTCGCCCCCGTCCCCTGCGCGGGGCTGGCGTGCAGGGCCCCTTAGCGTGCTTTCGGGCGCACAGCGGGCACCGTCCCCGACTGACCCATCTGGGAAGGTGGGCGGGAGGACGTGCAGGCAGAGCGACGGTGTTGCGCAGGGCCAGGGAGCAGCAGCTTCGGGCGCTGCAGGGGGTGGGTGCGAGTCTGCTGGGGGAGGAGACTGGGAGAGCTGGTCGGACGCACACGGGAAGGGTGAGGAAGATGTGTCCTGGAGGCAGTGGAAATACGTGTAAAGATGTATGAGGAATTTTTTAAATACATAAAAGCATGAAGAAGAAAAGAATAGTCCCTATTCCCAGTGCCCAGCGAAACCCTGAGCAAAAGAAAGTGAATTCTGGTGAGGAACTGCCGCTGTGACGACGCTTCCTGGTCCTCGCGCCAGAGGGCGGGGCCTCTGCCCCAAGGCGGCAACTGCTGAAACACGTCCGTAGAAAACCCTTTGGGTGGACACATACTGTCTCTTTTTTTATTTGCATGGAGGGGACGCTACAACGCACCATACTGCCCCTAAATGACTTTTCACGTTTTTAGGCTGGCGAGTGAGATGAAGAGCCATGCTTTAGCACCTACCCCCTCCCCTCTCCGTAGCATTTAGCATCAGAGAACACACTCGCCCAGTGTCCTCCTCCAGCGGCTCCTCCGGGACTTCGCAGACTTCGGGGTCCGCTGCGCGCTCCTTTCCTCCTCGAGTGCAGCCAGGTGTTCCGGTGGGGACGCACAGTGAACAGCATTCACTCCGTCCGTGTTAATGAAGTACCCGCTCTGTGACGGTCGTTCACCTAAACCGCAGGTCCCTGCGCTCGGGAGCGGAGAGGGGGGCTGCCGAGAGGAGGGGCGCACGGAGAGGGAGGGGCGCGCAGAGAGGGGGCGTGCGCGTGCGCGGGCTTCTCTCCGCCTCCCCTGCTCTCCCGCAACTGGAGATGAGCCCCGCGTCTGCGTCTCTAGTCTGCGTTCGTTTCCAAACGCGATTCCTACGTCTCCAAGTGCTTGGTGACCACACCCAGACCTCCTCCTGTTTCCTCAAACTCTAGTCATTGTCCCTCCCAGTCCCGCCCCATCTTCTGTGTTCCTGGTGTGAGTGGCCGTGCCGTCCTGAGGGTCCCCCAGACGCGGAACTTCAGACTCACCCTTGATTTCCTCCCGTAATCCCCGTTCGACACGTTGTCAAAGTCTGCCGATTCCTGCAGGTTGCCGTAAATAACCCGTTCTCCCCCATTCCCACCTCTCGGCCTAGATTGAGACCCTGGCTGCTGGTAGACTTCTAAGGGGTTTCCTTGCTGCCCAGAAGCGGTAGCGTTTGTCTGGAGTGGCTGGCAGACATACTTGGTTTGGCCAGCGAGATGTCTTCAAGCAGTTTCGTTTCCTGTGCCTTCGGTCAGGCCGTGTGCACTCCCGTTCTTGACCTCGTCCTCCTCATTGTTTTACGTGACCTCCTTTCTTCATTTATTTTCTCTGCCTGGCTCACAAAGGCATCTGAGTTTACGAGGCCATCTCATTCTGTACGTTGCCATCCCATTCAGCTTCCTCAAGCAACACACCTGCCCTCTGCTCAGCTATGGATGGCTCTCCGTTCCTGCCACGGCCCTTAATCAAGCATTTAAGGCCCCTCTCAGTCCAGGTGGACCTGTGCCTCCCATCTGCTTTCCCACTACCCTCGCCTGGGCTTACCTTGCTCTCCCACCAAACCAGTTTGTTGTCCCATCCACACCCTGTACGCCCCACTCCAGGGCCTCTGCCCTCACTGCACCCTTCAGGTGGAATGCCCTTCCCACCATGCGTCTCTACGCTCAACTCTGGCCTGTCCTGCAAGTCTCTGTGGTCTTCCCAAAGTACCCAATGATGTGGATTAAGGCTGTCCCAGCTAGAGAAGCCCAAGGTGACCTGGCCTACATGCCAAACTATATGACCCGGTGGATTTTTTTATGATATGAATTAGGGCTGCCCCAGGGAGAGAAGCCCAGGGCATCCTCACCTACATGCCGATCTGTATGGCCAGATTCATATCTAAAGTTATATGACCGCACAATAACCAGACCCCATCTGCACTGAAATCATTTAATGACTTTTTACATCATCTTTTCTTTTTCCAGTAAAAATAAGTCACGTACCCATGCCTTATAAAATTAGCCCTAACCCTCAACTCAGGGCAGGAGCAGCTCTGACTGCCCGTGGGTCCTGTCCCCATGCTATTCCACATTATTCTCTAAATAAAAGAGCACTACTGCCAGATCTTGAGAGTCCAAGAAATCTTTCTTTTGACTCCTTGTCTCACCGACCTAGCATCACCCAGGTCCTCTGATCGATGCTAGGAATAACATTAAAATTATTTTAAAATATTGGTTATTGTTATGTCTTCTTTATCTTTACAAACCTTTTGAAAATGTCCAGTTTTTGGAAAATGTACATAAAATAGTAAGTAGTGCATGCATATAGTTTATAAGGTGTATTGGAGAAGCTCAAATATTTTACTACCAGGAGTATGTAATAAATGTTTAGAGACCACTAAGCGAATGAGCGAGATCTATTTTTCAAGGTCTTACGTATCCCGAAATATAAGGTGAGGTCCCCCCCAAAATAGTTTATGAAAAAATAGGAAATCACCTTGCATTCATGTCCTTGTAAAGTCTGCCATGTAATGAGAGGCTCTCTCAATTACTTTATTTTGAGCAACACCTTTTTTTAAGGAAGACCTTGAAATGTCTTAAGTCCATGCTAATTTGGAATCGTTAAAAGGGAGGCAAAGAAATTTAACACAGATGCAGTCGTTATTTCTGGGGGCATGACCTCACAATTGCAAGCGTTGGATTTATATATATGGTGCCCTGATGTTCTGCACATGGGTATTTGTGACTTGAGATGCTCTTTCCTGTGACACAGGGGCCTGGTGTACAAGGGCACCAGCCATGGGGGTGAGTGGCACCATGTGCCTCCTTGGCCTATGTCTGCCATAGGAAAGATACCTGTTCCCAATTCACGCAAGGCATCTAATAAGCTGATGAGGGCTCTAATGACAGTGTTATATATATTCAAACAACTTGGATAAAAATAAAGTCAATGTGCTCTGGAAAATAGTGTTGGATGGCCCACTAAGATACGGATGTTGACTATTCCTGTGAAGACAGAATTCAGTTGTTTCATAAAATGCAAGTGTGAAAAAGTGAAATTTCTAAATTGACGTTTTCACTTAATGTTTTATTTTAAGTATATATGTTTAGCTAATGAGTTAAATATTACACTAGGCCTTTGTTATATTGAACTATATTCATAATTTTTTTATATTTTCAGCTAGACCAAGTACTTTTCTTTTTCAGTCTGCCTACTGGGAAATGAAAGAGTTCCTAAAATTTGATATGACTTGATACTGATGCATTTACAGGTTTCTGTTTTGTGTTTGGTGGAAAAGAAAGGACTGATATGCAGAGTAAGATACTGTAAAAGAAGATGAAGAAGTTACTCACTGATGTCTTTCTTTTTTTTAATTAGTAAACTGCGCTTGTATTTTTAAAGGTTTTAGGCAAATCTGACATCTGCACTGTTCACTTTCAATTCTGATAGGACTGACTTTGTCAAAGGCAAACAGTTTCTAATTTGATAAATTTCCCATTCTGCCAAGAACAAACGCCAATAAACGGGAGGTAGTTTTTTGTTATTGCAAGTTTGTAGACTTTCTAGAATGATTTTAATTCTAAAGTAATTGCAATATTACTTGCAGCATCAGTGAAGGAGGAATACTTTCTAGCCATTGGGGTGTTGCGAAGGAGTTCGTCTCTATGTTTCTTGGATAAGTTGAGATGGTCACAGCCAACCCCACTCGACTCTCGCCCTGTAACTGTCTCACAACGCATGGTGGGCTGTGGCCATCTGACTGTCTTTGTCCAAAACATGCGTAATTCATGAGGCTCATGAAGGGGAAGGAAGAAAAACA